TGCACACACGTGCACACACGTGCACACACGTGCACACACGTGCACACACGTGCACACACGTGCACACGCATGAACACAACAGTAGGCTTACAATCACATGCATAATATAAATGAGCAGCAATATAAACAATAATAATCGTAAGCTAGATACACACTCAATGTTATTTTGATGCATGCTCTAAGGTCGTAAGTACACTAAACAAGATGGTTAAGATAGAAGCATTTTGATCGATGATGGTAAAAATGACCTTCTGATGACTTGTGTCAATAAGTATAAACTGTGAAGAATGCACTTATACTATAACTGATTCAAGATTAAATTGCTAGAATATACATCATACTAATGTAATGAACGCTACTATTGTAATTGTAGAAAGATGCAATAATATGCCCTGTGGATGGTTGGCGGGTGATCTGGTGTGGTTTGCTCCTTGTTTCCTTTTAAACATCTTGTTTGTTTGTTTTAGTAAGTGTTTTTACGGCGCTCGCAACTGCATAAGGTCATATGAGCGCGCGGGACACACCTAATATTTTCAGTTGGTAGGAAATTTTGAATTTTGTCCGGGTGGCGGCCGAAGCCTACTCTTATCGATTTTAGACCACCAAGGGATCTTTAACGTGCGCAACTTGCACACGGGCCCTCCGAGAAAGTGGAAACGAAAGCAGACAACAGATTATTGCTAGAGAGCAGGAAAGGAGGTGAAAGTAGACAATTTTTTTCGGTCGCTACCCGGATTCGAACCCGGGACCTTTTGAATGAGAGGCCAACACCTTAACATCTAGGCCGTGAGAGCCCCCTTTAAACATCTGGATTATTTGATTACTTGATTCTAGAACTGGGGTCTTCTTGGTCTCCATCATTGATTGGTTGCGGAGGTTGCTCAGCTTCCCCTACCCTCGCAAACGTCTATCGCCCTTATCTCTCCTTTTTTGTTACTTGTAACACCTAATCTTCAAATGACCAAAATTGTGTCGATAGTGCCGTAAAACATCTAACCAATCTATCAAAAATCACCTAATCTTCGGCACCTAGATGACCTGTGTGGCAAGTGTCATAAAACTCTTGCTACACCAACAATTATGTACCCTCTATTGACCCATTTGCATGAACATCTTCCCCCCTTCTGACGTTAAGATTTGCGGAAAATGCCCTCTGCACCCTTTTGTCTGCATATTATCATTTCTGGTCATCTCACGTGGTCCGTGTACCTGCTTTCAGCGTACTTAATTTTTTTTCTGCTTCTTGGTGAAGTCATGTTGTCGTGTCAACTCGCCAATGAAAATGTAGACTCTCCTTTGTATCATTTCCGGACTGTTTTGTCTTTCCTCGGAATATGAAAATTCAGGTTTTCTTTCCAGGGTTGAATAAGGATTTAGTGATAATTGAAAAATATTGTTGAAAGATGCACTATGCCGGTCTGTGTTGTATAGTGGTTAGTCTTTTCTCAATTGCGTTTAGAAGGCATTGGTTCGATTCACACACAGGGAAGCTTGGATCTATGCCAATTTATCATATCGCCCTACCATTACTTCATATCAATGTACTGTCTTGCATTTTGACTCCCCAGAGTAAAGGTTGAGAAGACCGACATTACGTGGAACGATGACAACGGTACTGTATCCTTCAGGGAAACCTTCACCTTCCACTTTGACCCCGAGAAGTCTGCAGGTTCTGAGGATGACGTCATCACGACTGTGGACGTGCCCACCGCGGTAAGTTCAGTAACTACTAAGTATTAAAAAGGAGATAACTCTATGGTTCAGTAAGAAAGACTACGACTACTGATATGTATTGTGGGTTTGTGTTCAAGGAAAGACATGTGCCGGGGGAAAAGCATATTGGAAAACAGTGATCGAAGACAGTCTCGAGTGGGTTTGGACAAGTGCAACCTTCTAAGAGAGACGGCTGACACCTTTTGCATAAAAGTATTTTTCTCTTGTCTTTCTTTTGTTTATTCGTCTTTGCACCATGATATGTGTACACCCCGTGGAGAAGGTGGTTGGCGTGCGCTGTTTGCTCCTTCTTTCCTATCAAGCGTCTTATCATCCTTATCGATTCTCCTTTTCTTTGTAAGTCTCTTGTATTACTCGTAACACCTAATCTTCGGCACTCATACGACCTATTTGTGTTACAAGTGCCGTAACATTTAATAAAACATAAAAACACCCTGTAAATTTCTTTAACGGGAAGGATAGTAAAGTATCGTAAGCACAGAAATCAATTAGTCTTTAGTTTGTCAACAGACAACAGCTTCAGTCAGTTCTTAAGTCAACACGGTTTTGGTTGTGCGAAGACAGTACGTTTGGTTGTAAGAAGCTTCCATTTTACGTGAGCGAAGACAGTACATTTGAATTTATGAAACTCTTTTTACACATGTCAAGACAATATATCCTGACATTAAGAAGCTCCCTTTTTATATGTGACGACGCGAGGGACATCCAAACTCAAAACCTTATTATACACATTTATTAAATCTGGGTGGTTAGTGGGCGTTCTCGTGTGGTTTGCTTCTTCTTTCCCCTCAAACACCCCCCCCCCCCCGGGATCTGTTATGTGATTTTTACAACAGGCCCCCCCCCCCCCCCCCCCGGGGCGGTACCACTGACTGAAGTGTCTTTTGGCCATTCCCAAATGGGGGACATTCCTTGTTCTAATGCACAGTATAATTGTAACTGGGCTGATCCAACAATGTCATGCTCTTAACTGTGCCTGAACTACAACAGGGAACAGCTGCTTTTTCGTTCCTAATCCTTACTATCATTTTCCTCTACTTCTTTTGTTTGTTTGTCACACTCTTATTTCCGAAGTGCCTTGAGAGTCGAAGTAGACTTTGTGCTGTTGAAACTAGAGAGGTGAGCAGAGTAAGTTTGATTCCCTGTAAGGACTTCTCTGTTGATATCCACCCCTTGGCGCTCATATGACCTAATGCAGTTGCGAGCGCTGTAAAACCTCTACTAAAACAATCCCTCCAACATCTATCCTCTCTCCTTTTCTTTAAATGCTTCTCTCAAGTATCACCTAATCTTTGGCCCTTACAGTACATATTTACTTTGCACATGCCGTAACACTAAAATTTATCAAAACTATTACAACCCCCCCCAAAAAAACAACAACAACAACAAACAAACAAACACAAAACAAACAACAGAATTTAAATCGCGTGTGGCTGGAGGGGGCCACTGGAATGTCCAACTTTTCTGTGCCTCTGTTGTTTCTACCTGTCTTGCTTCTTCTCTGCACTATACAGCTGTTACTGTGTCGATGTGCTTCTGTTTACTCAAACTTAAACGCATTTTTAAATCGCGAAATTATGCGCATATTGATGAACAACTGAAACTTATCTACAGATGGTACACACCCTGGCAGGCGTTGGGAGTGATGCCGTGGACGCGTTGTTCTCGCTGGATGGCCAGACCTTCCTCACGCGCACTGTGCGGGAGCTGCTTTGGGGTTATGAAAGCGAGGTCCTTCACACAATCGGTAAGCTGTTAGTTTATAGAGAAGCACTTAAGCGGTTACTCCTCGCAGGCAGATGTCCTGAGTTAGATTCTCGAGTGGGAGAGTTTTCAACGTGTATCCTTGATAAGCAGGATCAAAACCCGCCTACCTCCAGTCTGTGGGAGAACCACTGGGAAAACCAGAAAAATAATAAACTATATTAAAACCCAAACTAGAACAGCGAAATCCTTCGGACCTATGCATAATATAAATGAGCAGCAATATAAACAATAATA